AACATCTGGATGTCCTGCTTTGGGCTGCACACATGCACACCCACACACTCAACCTGTATACACCACACATGTAACCCACACAAAGTTAGGACTTTAAGATGTGTATAATTTCTGAAGCAGCAACATGAATGGTTTCTAGAGGTGAGTTCCAGTCGGTGCAGTGGCAGTGACGTTTTGTCAATGTAATAATAAATGCATCTGTTGAGTGCTTAACAGGTGTCTTATCTAGCAGAGGGCCAGAGACTTGTTTCTTCTCATGTGACAACCTCAGGAAGTCCCATCATCCATATCTTTCTGTTTGTTTGGGTTTTTTTGGGGTGGGGGTAGGGGGAGACAGGGCTTCTCTGGCTGTCCTGGAACTCACTCTGTATACCAGGCTAGCCTTGAACTCCACCTTGAGATCCACCTGCCTCTGCTTCCCCAGTGCTAGGATTAAAGTTGTTATCCACCCCGGGCTCCATCATCCATACCTTACAGATGAGGAAACTATGGAACTTGGTGCAGTTACTTGTCAGCCTCAGAATTTGGGCTCTGGAAGTGACAATGATGAGCTCATGCTGCAGATGTCAATCATTAGGGTGTGTAAGTTCTGATTGGCTCAGCAGTCTGTAACCTTATACCTTCAAATCTCAGTCTTTCTAAGTTAGGTTGACTAGAGCTTTATAGACATAACTAGCTACTCAAGAAAAATGAGTAGGCAGGATACAAATTAGGATCATGGGTTACCAAGTAACGTGGGAACGCAGGCCAGATGTTTCTTTCCAGAAAACGGAGCCTCCATCTAGATCAGAAACCTCCCTCCAGCTTCCTAGTGAAAGAACAGACCTCTGTGGAGAGCTTAAGTCTTGGCCCTGCCTCTCCCTTCACTGGACCTGACACCTGAATTCAGGCCGTTTGGAGAGAAATGTGGAGAACTGTGTAATTGCCACTCAAAACAGTTTATAACCCCCAAAGATAAGCAGGGATGTATGGCTCAGAGTACACTAAGGCCTCATTCTAGGCAGCCCTGTCTAGATCAACTACATGGAAGCTGGAATGCACTGGCAGACATCTTGGAGGGAGGAGTTGTGAGGGAAGACCCTAGACCCTCCTAAGTCCTGAAGGGTTCATAACTCAGAAAGGCTCTTCTGGAGGCGGAGTTTCTTGGACTCTCCTCTGTGGCTTCAGAGTGACTTCCTTCTGGTCAAAGGGTAGTCACATCGTGGAGCAAAGTGATAAAGGCTAATGAAGACAGTGTTGAGGCAGGAGAGTAATGGAAGCTGAATCGCCTGGCACTCCCTACTTGAGTCAGTGGGAATGGTAGCAGGAGAGAGGACTAGAGAGCTGCAGAGGGTCGCAGGAGAATTGCTGGGTTGGAGGCCAGTTTGGCTAGGGTTAGGTGTGTGTCTCACTCTCCAACCCCCACCCCTGCAAAAGATAACGGTGTAGTGTTTCCATGTAACTGTACATTTCTTTCATACTTCAGATGGTGCAATGTCAGTATGGTGATGGAGACTATACAGTATTGTTCAGGGAACAAGGAACGTCTACATATTCAGTATGGATGGACATATTTATCCAGTATTTCCCATTTACAGCTGGTTGAATCCCAGGGTACAGAACACATGCATGCAGAACCGAACCCAGGGCTGTGGAGGGCAGATTGTCCTCATTTCTTTGGATTATTGGGGGAATTCCTTAAGATATCACATTCAGCACAGTATTTGGCAGGTAGGAAGTGGTCCATGAGTCTAAGTTACAGCCTTCCTCCCACTTTCCCGCTTTACAGTAGAGGAGCCTGCTTTCTCCTGTCTGCGATACCGCAGGGTGGTTATTATATACTCTCAATCCATGGAGGTGGGGACCACTATTTCCTTTGTTTTGTGGGCTTGGAAGTTAACAGTTCACCCCAACATCACCCAACTGCTAAACCACACCCGTCACCTGCTCAAAAGCCTCACGTTCCATGTGTTTGAGTAAACTTGATCCAGATATTTGGGATGTCTCAGGAAACTAACAGCTAGTCCCCTGTTTGCAGGCACTTAGGTAGCGGTGGCTCTCAAGGAAGAAATGGAACCAAGACTGGCATGTTATGGTACAGAACTGTGAAGGAAGTTTAGGGAAAGGCTGAAGTCCCCCCAAACTGACTTCCCTACATAAGCCTCATCACTTCAAGTCCCCTGAAATGGGTGTTAGTGTCCTCATTTTTTGAGACAAGGTTTCACTATGTAACCTTGGCAATTGCTATATAGACCAGGTTGTCCTTGAACTCACAGAGATCCATCTACTTCTGCTTCCAAATGCTGGGAATTAAAGGTGTACTACTACTCCCAAGCTAGTGTCCTTTAAAAAAAAAATGAAATAGTGAGCTGTGGTGGCACACACCTTTAATCCCAGTATTCTGGAGGCAAAGGCAGAGGCAGAGGCAGGCAAATCTGAGTTTAAGGCCAGCCTGGTCTACATATCAAGTTTAACACCAGCCAATGCTATGCAATGAAACCCTATCAGAAAAAAAAAAATAATAAGCTTGGGATCTGGCTCTGCATTTGTTCCCCTGTGCAAGCCTGCCTGCGTGCGCGCGCACACACACACACACACACACACACACACACACACACACACACACACACACAAAGCAAAGTTCAGAGATCCTGTGACTTAAGTTGTTGAGTTGATGCTCGAGTTCAGTTTGATCTCACACACATTCACACATGTACACCCCTCCAGTTTACTGTTAGAAAGCTATTTCTGGGATACTCTTTCCTCAGATAATGGATTTTACCAAACCCAGAAGAACCTCAGACTTAAGTGGTTAAATCTGGGAAAGTGGGCAGTGGGCTGTAAGCTGATGGCAGTCATGTCTACGGCATGGGGAAGGCTGGAAGAAGTTCTGTTGGGAGGTACTTCCCACCCATGCCCTTCCTTCCCTAGACCATGTTAGACCTCAGCCTCTGCACACAGGCCTCAGCCCACCTCTTCTCTCTGGGCGCAGGGTGAAAGTTGCCAACCTTGTCCAGGCCTCTGAACAGGCTGCCATGAAGACAGAGCTTGCTGCCCTGGCCATCCACCAAGGGATGCTGATCCAAGGTCACAAGTTCACACAGGTTGATAAACAGAAGGTTGGAAGGAGATTGAGTAAAAGTTTACCAGGGTTGATGGGACCCAGAATGGAGACCACCGAGCAGGAAAACAAACAAAAGCTGGAAGAGTGGTGACTGGGGAAGAGGTTGCCGGGAAAGGACAGGGTGCCACAGAAGGGCCACACAGAGTGTTCAGATACCCCTGGGCTCCACCCATAGGAAGAAGCATGAACTGAAGGGGATGGCCTCCTCCCCAAGGCTGAGCGGAAGCAGTATAGTGGGGCAGTCCTGGTGCCGAGTTTGGCTCTGGCTGGCCCATGATCTGAGGCTGCCCCTCCAATATAGATGGCAGTGCCCGGCTTAGTAGGAGGGGCAATGTGAGAGGATGGTTAAGAGTCCTATCTTCCATCAGTCTCCCTCCCAAATGAGATCTTACACCACTGCCCTGCCTCTCCAGAAGGGCTCTGTGGCCCTGCCCTTCAGTGGCTCAAAGGCGGGGTACCTCACCTGCAGGCACACCATTGCTGCTAGCCTCAGAAGAATATAAGAAAGATTCCAGTCTTTATCCAAAGAAAACCTGGGTTCCCCTGACCCGTCTCCTCAACTGTGTGGGCAAGGCCCACAGCTCCTACTGACAAGTAGTGATTCTAATCAGATAAAGTCAGCCAGGGCTCAGGCTTGAAGGTGACCATTCTGTTACACCTGAGCTGTAGGACACAGTGCCAACTCCCCACCCATCCTGGTTTTTCCATGATCTGTGACCCAGGAGGACCAGTTATTGACACCACATGCATTGATAGTCAGTGGTGAGCTGGATTCTGGGATGACTCCATTGGCCTAGGTGGGCCCTCCATGTGACTTTTTCCTCTCCTGGGAAAGCAGGATGGAGATAAGCCAGGAGACAGAGGGTAGACTCTGCTCCGATGACTTTCCTCTAAGCAAGCTGGGCTAAGTCACTTGCTGTCTAGGTGTACAAGTTTCTGCCTCTCCTTGATCACAGGGCCATTGTGAGGCACCTGCATCCGGGGACAGATGGTCTCTGACTTCATAGAGGAAGTGTGCACTGCTCAAAGGAGCCGGCTTGTGTGGGGGGGAACTTGAAGGATTAAAACTTGGTAGCTTTTCTGTTCTGGTTTTAGAAAGTGACTTTAGAAGCCTAGGGATGGACCAGGGTAGCAGAAACCCATGACAAGACACTCCCTCCGCACCTCCCCGCTGCACCTCCCCCAGGATGCCTGTCCTCCATGTTTATGTGATTGTCAGCCTTAGACAGGTGGAGCCAGTGGTAGTATTGTTCAGTGGCATATGGGAGATTTTATTTGTAGACTCACGAAATTCCCTCCTATTTAGCTGATTGCAGGATTTCTACTTCTCTTCTTACACTTCAAATTGCCATCCAGGGTTACAACACCTGCCAGCAGAGATCTCCATGTTAGTCATAAAAATCACCCCCAGGGGGCACCGTTGTCCAGTGAATGGGCACAGGGCCTGGGAGCTTTGGTTTTTGTGGCAAGTTGGAGCTATCTCATCAGGAGTCAGTCAGCCTCTTCCTCTCATGGATGCCTCAACCCATGAAGGGGAGAGTTTCTAGCTGTCTTTGCTTTGTTTAAGAAGTTTTCTTTTAGCATAAGTCTTATTTAAAATATGACTAAATCTATTGAGTTGATTTGGCCTAAGGGGAGGAGATGCAGCAAAGCCCAGTGTGGCTGCTCCCCTCCTTCCTAGCTTAAACACTGAGATTCAGGGCCACTGCGGTGGGTCTCACTCTCCCGGGGTCTCCTGACAATGAGATGACACATACTGGATCCCACATTTCCATTGCACCTTCCCTAGAGCTCAGAGCCACACCAAGATGTATCCTCAGCCCAGCTGTTAACCTGCTGTGAGACCTAGTCCATGGTTTCCTCTCTCTGGGTGTGGAGCCTCCCGGTATTGCCAACCACGGTCATCGAGACCCAAAGCCCTGAGTCTGGGGCTCAGATGTGGGCCTAGCTGAGTGGCTGCCTCTCCCTGGCCTGGCAGTGGTGCTGTCATACCCACCTCATGTGGATGGTGCATAGGCAGCTCAAAGTGACGCAGAGCAGAAACGGGTACAGGAACGCTTGACGCAGCGTAGGGTAGACGATCTGCACATGATCCGGCGCCCCGGGAGGTGGATGCGTGTGGGAAGCCCCTCAAACCAGACTAACTGGTCAGTTACGTCCAGTGCTTTCTTGTTCATCGTGGGAGCTCTGTGATGGTAGGTCTTCAGGAAGACAATTCTGGGCTTCTTAACATGTGGCTTCCTCTTCTGGGCTCTGGTATGCAAGCCACAACTCTTGGATATCTTGGGGACTTTAGACTTTGCCTGCTTTTTTCTCTGTGGCACTACTGCAAGTGACCCCTTTGACCTTTGGTTGGACTTCCTTTGGTTGGACAACCTTTGGTTGGACGTTTTTTCCTTAGATTCCTCTATGGATTTTGCTTTCTTAGATTCCGGTTTCTTCTCAAGGGCCCTAATCCCTTGGAGCTCTTCATTATTTTGTTTCCCTTTCTTGCAGACATCAGTGTCCCTGACAGGGAGAGGAAAGGTTACCAGCAGAGCAAGGGTTCTTCTAGCCCAGTCCTGAGCAGTTGCTATGTTGGTGGTTCAGGGAGCTCATTAATGCTAGAGATAAGCTGAAAGAAATGTCTCTAGAGCCTGGGGGTAGACGGTAAGATTAGTTTTGGTAGAATGGATGTGAGACAGACATTGGCAAGGCAGAAGGCCTGACCAGTATTTGAAGAGCCTAAGGGTATATATGTTGTTGGCATCCACTACTACACTAGGCTTCGGTCTCAGCCAAGAGGGAAGACTGTCCAGTGTTCCTTTCCAATTATATTCTAAAAAACCATAGGGTTCTGAAGAGACTTCTCCAGTACCCTCGCCTGAGCTAGGTCAGAAGGCAGCATAAGGGCAAGGTGCCCCTCACATTGAGATTTACAGACTTTTTTTTTGGTTTTTGAGACAGGCTGGCCTCGAACTCACAGAGATCCGCCTGCCTCTGCCTCCCAAGTGTTGGGATTAAAAGCATGCACCACCACCGCCCGGCTCAGGACAAATACTTTTAAGAGATGTTTCTGTGCTGTAAGAACTATGGTGGTCTGTGACCCTGAGCCTCTGGTTTAGGGCTTCCCGGTTGCTCAGAAGCCACATCAGAGAGAAAAACTTTATGAAGGAAGTCACAGCTTTCACACATGGAAAGAGTTCATCAGGAGTATGAGTACCAGATTGAGCCAGGCAAAGCTCCATGCTAACTGATCCTAGCTGATGACATTGAGGGCCACTAGGTGCCTATTGTCAAGATCTGCCAAGTAGGAGGCAACAAAGCTGCTATAATCTGGAGAGCAATCTTTGGAGACAGCATGCTAGATTCACATCATCTGAATGGGGTAAGACGTTTAATCTCCCAGAGCCCGGGATCTCCATCATAAAACTTGGATAATGTCATGTACCTAGGATTGTCGGGAAGAAGCATCTAAGTGGGGTGTGTACATGTGTAACATTCTAAGCAGAGTGGCTGGCACTTAACAAGCACTTATATAAATGCTCCCCACATTCTAGAGTAACCCTGAGTAATCAGATTCTGAGCAAGACACATGTATCTTCAGATTCAGAGGGCAGTCCGTGAGTCTGCCTCTGGGTTAGGCTGCCAGGCACAGGAGGAAGAGAAAGCTCTGTGCATACACACTCAGTACCACAGTTATAGATGGCCCTTAACTAGGTGATTGTGATCACTGTTACAGCCACAGCTTTGATCTCAGGCAGGAATGACTTCAAACAGGTACTCTGCCAATTGTCAGTTCAATAAAGATACAAATCCAAGATAAATCCCTTCATCTCTTGAGCTTCAGCCCCTGTTAGTAAAACAGCTTGTATAAATACCCGTTGTACAGAGCCCTTGTGTAAAGTAGGCCACTGTTCCCCCATTCCCTCACCATAATGTCTGCTCCTAGGAGAGACAGCTGTTGGATCCATTTTGTGTGTGTGTGTATGAGGAGAGGGTGCGGACGGAGCTCACCTAGAGGAGATCTGGAGGATCTTTGGAACTCTGAGCATTGAATTCCAGCACCTTCTGGCCAGGCTATGCAGTTCTTGGATCCGGCTATTCGAGCTCTTGAGTAACTTCAAGAGGGACAATTTTTTTAATACCTGCCAGGGTCAAGAAACCAGAAAATTAGAGGCTTCAGTCCTCCTGGGACAGCCTTCCATGCCCTATCTGTGGCTTGGCTCAGCTCAGGGCTGAGTCTTCTGGCTCCCATGGGTCACTGGGTCCAGTACCTGGGGTAACACTTCAAGGGGGAGTTCGGCTCCCCTAAGCAGGGGCTAAAATGGAACATCTCACCATTTTAAGTCGGTTCCGCTCAATTAGTTTGCTGACAGGCTGATTTATCTTGTCCTGCAGTTTCTTATCTTGCATCTGAGGGATAGGAAGAGAGGGAGAATAGCATAGAAGGAATCCCCTTGCATGACTTATACTGTGTCTCTCCCATTGGGCTGAGCAGGGTTTGACCAATCCTAGACTGGAAATCTTGTCACTTTGGTTTTAGAACAGAACTGAGACCATTTTAACTCTGCCCTGAGACCATTTTAACTCTGCTGGCCTCCTTTTACCCTTCACCTTTCCCTTTTCTGAAAGGCTCAAAAGCCTGTCCTTGGTGTGACTGGATCCTCTGGTAGGATCCATCCTATGCCTGGACTCCAGTACAAAGTCTGACCTTGGAAACCACTCTATTCTTGGGCCTCTTCTTTTTAGATGGGCTCATGCTGGGGCCGGAGGAGCGAGACTGGACCCAGCACTGCCTGCACCCTGCCCCTCTCACTTCAGCCAGCACTTGGGCTGAGTAACATATGATGGTGCTGGAGCTGCCAGGCAGGGGAGCTGTGACATCACTGAAATGTGTGACAGCATCAGGGCTGTATCTCTGGAGGGTCAGAAGGCCACTCCCATCAGGAGAAACACAGTAGGTAACAGGCAGCAGTGTACATGATCACAACCTTTGAGGTAAGATGGTGGATGCCTCCTTTTAGAGGAAGAAGCTAAGATTTTAAAAGATACATGATTTGCCCAGTTCACACGGCTGGTTGGTGGTAGAGCTCAGAATATAATGTAGGTCTGACAAGTCAATTCATGAAAACTGGAGTTCCCAAACTGCTCCTTTATTCAGCCACATCACATACGTTGCCTGGCACCTGCTTCATTAGGTGCTGTTTATAATTCCTAGAACAAAGTGAGCTTCCATCAGATGAGATCAGGCACAGCTAGGGTGACATGGCTGTGAACTGACTTACACTCTAGTGGAGGCAAATAGCCTCAAATAGTACATGTGCTTATTAAAAGTTTTCCTGGTGGAAATCTAGAAATAATCTGATAATCTTATAGTGCTCTTTAGTATAAATTTTATCCTTCAGTTACTGTTTTGAGTTTTAAAAAAATCAATTATTTTGTTTAAAAATAATTGTGTGTGTGTGTGTGTGTGTGTGTGTGTGTGTGTGCTGGTGGATGTGCCTGCAGAGACCAGAGAGTGTCATCCATTGGAGGTGGAGTTACAGGCAGTTATGATCTGCTTGAGTGCTGGAAACCAAGGGTCCTTTGTAAGAGCAGTACATGCTTTTTTGTTGTTGTTGTTTTTGTTTTTGTTTGTTTGTTTTTTTGTTTTTGAGACAAGGTTTCTCTGTGTAGTTTTGGTGACTGTCCTGGATCTTGCTCTGTAGGCCAGGCTGGCCTCGAACTCACAGATCCGCCTGCCTCTGCCTCCCAGTTGCTGGGATTAAAGGCGTGCCGCAGCAGCCGCCGCCACCGCCACCACCACCACCACCACCACCCAGCAAGAACAGTACATGCTTTTAACCACTAAGCCATTGTTCCTGCCCGTTTTGTTTTTGAAAGAATTGTCTTGCTGTGTTGCCCAGGTTAGCCTCACACTTGTCCTCCTTCCTTAGTGTCCTCACTAAGTTGTGTCACAACTCAGCTGATGTTTATATTAGACTTTTATCTTGCCTAAGTCTTCTTCCTGTGTATGGCTGGGATGTGGTTATGTCTAAACAAATGAGGTACCCACAGAAGTGTTGGTGTTTGCATTCGAACTGAAGAGTCAGAAAATGAAGATGTCGAACAACAAATGCTGAAGGTTTCTCTCATCCTCCACTGACCTGACTGGCTTTGCTTTACCAGTGTTTGCTCCAGGATTTTCTTTCTTTCTCCCCTCACCCCACCCCACCCTTTTTTGTTTGTTTGTTTGTTTTTTGTTTTGGTTTTTTTTTTTTTTGGTTTTTCGAGACAGGGTTTCTCTGTGTAGCTTTGCGCCTTTCCTGGAACTCGCTTTGGAAACCAGGCTGGCCTCGAACTCACAGAGATCCGCCTGGCTCTGCCTCCCGAGCGCTGGGATTAAAGGTGTGTGCCACCACCGCCCGGCTTGTTTTTTGTTTTTTGAGACAGTGTTTCTCTGTGTAACAGTCCTGGCTGTTCTGGAACTTGCTTTATAGACCAGGCTGACCTCTAACTCACAGAGCTCTGCTGCTTCTGCCTCCTGGGTGCTAGGATTAAAGGTGTGTCCAACCATGCCCAGCCTTTCAGTTACTTTCTGAAGGCCAGACCGGTGGCCAGTCATTTTCTTCTGTAAAGGGCCACTACTGTAGGACTTTTCAGCTATAGTTGTAACTGCCTACTTTAGTTGTGTATAAAGTAGACACCCACAGTACATAAGTGAATGAACATGGTCTTACTACAAGAAAACTATTTACAAATACAGCTGATGAGCTGAATTTGGCCCATGCCAACGGGGCCAAATCAATAAAACAATACACTTAAACCCACTTTGTCATGCTTACCTCTCCAGTGAAATACTCCTACTGAAGTTAATTTCAACTCAGTAGTTGGTGTCACTGGACTCAGAGTAGAGAGAAAATACTCAGGAACATGCCTTTATACATCTTATCTACTGCTCTGCAGGTCTGCAGGGTAAAGACTCTCAGGATGACATATAAACGATGGCTTTCATGGTTAGAAAGTGACAAGCATGAGCATTTTTACCTTTGTGTGTGCTCAGTATCAGTCATGTAATTATAAGTTTAGTCATTTAACCTTTGATGATGGCTGCACTTAAGAACCAGCTTGAAGAGTTTCTCAACATGGAGGGGTAGACTTCCTGAGCCTCTGAGTCAGATTTAGCATGTCACTCAGAGCAGATGGAGCTAAGTGCATGGATCAAAGTAAATGGGGATAAGAAGGATAAAGATGGGGTATGTTGTATTAAAAAGTGTGATTGTGCAAGCCTGGAGTCCCAGCTTGGGAGCCTGGGGCAGGAAGATCAGTTCAAGACCAGCCTGACTACACAGAGAGACCCTATCTCCAAGACAAGACAAAACAGGGCTGGAGAGATAGCTCAGTGGTTAAAAGCACATCTCTTAAAGAGGACCTTAGCAGTTTCCAGCACCTGTGTCGAGCAGCTCACAGCCACCTGTAACTTCAGTTCCAGGGGGTTCTAACACCTCTGGCTTCCACAGGTACCTGCACTCACATACGCACACACATACATGTAATCTTTTTCTTAAGACAGGTGCACCTGTGCGCGCACACACGTACACGTAATCTTTTTCTTTAAGGCAGAAGTCTGGTTTGGGAAATACTTATCAGGATGAGATTTGGCCAGAGCCCCGAAGGAAATGGAGGCTGTGTAGTTGACTATATCAGAATGATCCAAAGAGCTTGTGAAAAATAGCTTCTCAGGTGCTGACCAGTCTGACACCCAATCAAGTTTGGTTCCCACTCCATACTAGACTTTCTTAAATGTCCTCTTTCAGTAATATGAAGGTGTGTGGGGATGTTAATCTGCCTCAGGGAAGATAACAAGGGGTAATTAGGAAGGAAGATATCAAGGACAGTAACTTTGTGCCCACTCTTCTGTGAATCCTAGGACTCCTTGGCCTCTCTGCCTGCCCAGGTATCCTTCTCCTTGCCAGTGCATGCCACTGTGGTGTTTGCCAAATGGATTGTACTAGACTGCACATGCTCTGAGGCCTTGGTGCCTGGTAGCTTCATCAGCTCTGTCAACTCCAGAGGCTGGGATCTGCTGTGGGCACCATGGACAGTAACTGTAGGCAGAGCATGCCCCCTTTCTGTGTGCTTTCAAGCCCATAGGCCAAGGAGAAAGGTCCCTCTAGAATGCAGGCTCCTCAAGGGCAGGAGTTTTTGTCTGTTTCATTTATTGATAAACCCCCCAGGACCTAGAACTGTGTCTGTTAGGATCATAGATTATAATCAGGATAAAGACAAAACAACTCTCCCCAAATATTTAACATTATCTATGACTAGGGTAAATGTCTGTGGGAATTAGCGAAGGAAATAAAGAAGTTAGCCAAGTAAAGGATATGAGGTGGGCAGGGCCTGCTCAGGGCCTGCTCACAAGAGGGAATTTAGAGATAGGTGTGCAATGGAATTCTAAGTCATTGTGTTTTACTGGGGAAGAGAGTGGGACCAAGTGTGGCAGGGTAGACCTGTAAAAGTGAGCACGACTTACATGCTATGTGCTTAGGAGCCTGGCTGAGAGCCTAGGAGTCAGCTCTGAGAGCACCAGGAGGGCTCAGTCTGGAGACACTGGCCGGATTGTGCTGGGGCAAGCCTGACATCCTTTATCATTCCTTGGTAGTTCATCCATCTTTTAAAATGTTTATAAGAGTTTACCCTTACAGGAGGTTGAAGCTTATTTCAAAATTAAGTAGCTGGATATGGTGATGCACACCTTTAATCCCAGCACTTGAGAGGCAGATATCTCTGAGTTCAAGACTATCCTGGACTACACAGTGAGTTCCAGGCTAGCCATAGCTACGTAGTAAGACCCTGTCTCAAAAAGAAAAAAAAAGTTAAGTAGAATGCACAGTAATTTTCCATAACCCTCCCAGCCTTGTATGTGAGTAGCCCCCTCCTCACCCCATCAACATTACCAGTTAAGTCTCTGACAGACATACAGTGTGATACATTAGCTTTATCACCCAGAAGCCATCCTTTATATTAGGGTTCCCTCTTGCTGTTATCCACTGTATGGGTTTGGATGAATGTTTAATAGCATGTCCTTGATATTACATCACACAGAATTGTCTATTGCCCTAACAGTCCTGTGCTTTACTGTATTCATCCCTCCTTCTCCACCAAGCACTGGCAGACACTGACCTCTTTACTGCCTTCCAGTATGTCCTGTGATCAAAATAAAAAATAAGTATCTAGCCACTTTTTATGGGCATTTCTTTAATAACAGCATTTAAGCAAACTCTTTTTAGTGCTGAATAATGTTGTTTTCTGTAAGCATCAGTTTATTTATCCTTCACCTACTGAAGAACTTCTGTGACTCCAGGTTTGGGCAATTATGAATAAAGCTGCTGTGAACATCTGTGCTCAGGTGTTTATGCAGACATACGCTTCCCACTCCTTTAGATAAATGCCTGAGACTGCAACTGCTGATCATCTGCTTAGTTTTGTAAGATAGCTCCGAACTGTCTTCCAAAGTGGCGGTAACTCAACCTTTACAGCTTTTGTTTTGTGTTGTTTTTCAACACAGGGTCTTGATACATAGCCCAACCTAGGCTAGAACTCACTATATAGTCCAGACTGGTCTCAAACTTGCAGTCCTCCTGCCTTAACCTCTAGAGTGCTGGGAATGCCAGAACTCTAGATGTGAGCCTTCAAACCCAGCTTAGTCAATTCTGTCACTCTTTATCTGCTTCCACACCTTCTGAAGTTAGAGCCACCTGAGCAGTTCATACCCAGGAGACCAGAGTGTACAGTAACAGTGGCTCATGAGCAGTTTTCCATATTCCATCTTGTTTGCTCTTTCCATTTACACAGGGAAAATACAAGCTTTCACGGGGGAGACAAATCTACCCAGTGACATAGGCGGTAAGCCTTGAATAATAAACATAAGAAAGCTCTTAAAAATAGGAATAGTGAGTGGTGGCACACAACTTTAGTCCCAGCACTTGGGAGGCAGAGGCAGGAGGATCTCTGTGAGTTCGAGGCCAGCCTGGTCTCCAAAGCTACACAGAGAAACTCTGTCTCGGAAAAAAAAAATAGGTATAGTGAAGTTGGGCAGTGGTGGTTCATGCCTTTAATCCCAGCATTAGGAAAGCAGAGGCAGGCAATGTTATGAATTACTGCGCAGGGAGGGTGAGACCCCAAGGGTATCCTGTGAGTGCAGGGAAACATGCTGGGCAGATGCACGCCATGCAGGTTTTTACATCTAGACTGCACATGCTCTGAGGCCTTGGTGCCTGGTAGCTTCATCAGCTCTGTCAACTCCAGGGGCTGGGATCTGCTGTGGGCACCATGGACAGTAACTGTAGGCAGAGCATGCCCCCTTTCTGTGTGCTTTCAAGCCCATAGGCCAAGGAGAAAGGTCCCTCTAGATGAGGCTTTTACATCAGGACACAGGGCAGTGCCGAGGGGGTGGGATTTCAAGGTCAGAATATTAACATTCCTCCAGTTTGATTATTATAAAAGAGGTGAGTTATGGAAGCAAGTGGGGGAACAAGGGTGCTGATTCTAGAGGCTACTTCAAGCTGACAAAGGGCGAAGTGGGGAGGGGGGAACCAGGAGTCATGCATGGCGGGAGGTGGGAGTGAAGAAGCATTTAGTTAGCTGTCATCATGGAGATCTCAGGTGTCTGTTCCTTGAAGTTGCTAGGAGAAAAAAATAGGTTGTCATCATTGGCCTTATGAGCTGGGCTAGTCATGGGAAGAATGATAACTGCCAGAAAGAATGGAACAGAGAAGTGCCCTGGTTGTACAGAAGAGGCAAGAGTGAATGAGTGAGACACGAGAACAGGTACGCCCTTCATTGGGACATCTTGGAAAATCAGGTTCCAGTTGCTAGGCAGGTGCCTGCCTGAGCCTGGAGAGGTGGCACCAGCAGTGAATTGAAGGATGATGTGTTCTTTAGGAGTGCAGGAGCCATCACATCTGCCATTTCTCTGGAGGTGGGGTGCATCCATCCCAGTTGGCACCTTGGTTAGGAGTTGGCACCTTGGAGCTGGTGCTAGCTGGTGTATCTGGAAAGCCCCTTGGCCCAGGCAGGAGAAGGAAACTGCAAAATATGCTTGAAAATGGCTGAGGTCAAAATGTCTCTGAAGACTGTTAATTTTTATCAGACCAGATTTTTTGATGCAGTAACAGAACTTTTCCCAGGGATATGTAGGTATCTGTAAGCCAGCTGGAATAGATTTTTAACAGGAAACTTATTAATGAGCTATCAAGGTGCTTGTAGTCTTGGGTCATCAAACACCATCAGATCTTAGAAGGATAAATTTAAGAAGTGAGACAGCTTTCCTATCTTCATTTAAACAAACCAGGATATACAGAGAGCAGTCCATAGTAAAAAGTTACATTCCTAGTTGAGGGGGACCTGTGGGTGTTATATAGGGAACTGAGAAGGCAGCTGAAGCAAAGCCTGGTCATCAGATGGAATCGGAGATCCCAGAAGGATAAATCATACCTGAGTGCAGACCAAGCAGCTTTCAAATCTGTTAAAAATGACAGGGATCAGTCCATATCCAGTTAGCTATACCCTGGTCTCCATATCATTGGCAGAAGTATCAGAAGAGCATCAATCTTCAGCCCTCCAGGACCATGAGGTGGGAGTTTTCCCATAGAAGAGGGACATAGGAAAGACTGACTTTATTTTATCTAGGCAAAAGGGGTGCAATCAATTCCCCGATGTCCTGCTGTTTGTCCACAGTCTGGGTCAGGTCCTGGCAGCAGGTGTCACATTTAGGCAATTTGCCCAGAGGTCAGTGTTGCCATCATCCAGATGAAGACATCTTCTTCAGAGACCTTGGGTCACTGTTAGAATCTGGAAGTCTCTGTCTGATATAATAATCTTTTTTGATTATCATTTTAAAAGCCATATTCTGCAGATCTCTGAGCATTTGAGGACTGACTATTAGGAATGAATGGCTAACTGTCAGCCAGTATTCCCTGAGTCTCCCGTATCTTAGCAGCTTCCATAAGGCTAGGACTTGCTGTCTCCTGAGAAGGCAAAGAAGAGTAACGGGAAAGATCCCAAGGCCGAATGAGGACAGGAAAAAAGGGCTTGTGAGTCAGGGTGCAGCCCAACTCTGAGAAAAAGATCCTCTGAGAAGAGGAAAAGGACCCTCTTGGTGGACCAGAAGCTCCATCCTGATTGATTTATATATATTTATATAGAAATAATAATTTCTTTTTTTTTTTTTTTGTTTTTTTTTGTTTGTTTGTTTGTTTTTAGGTTTTTCGAGACAGGGTTTCTCTGTGTAGCTTTGTGCCTTTCCTGGAACTCACTTTGTAGCCCAGGCTGGCCTCGAACTCGCAGAGATCCGCCTGGCTCTGCCTCCCGAGTGCTGGGATTAAAGGCGTGCGCCACCACCGCCCGGCTAGAAATAATAATTTCTTAAGGTTATACAATACCTCCCTGGTTCTGCATAAAGGTCAAGTGTCTTATCTTATTGCAGAACCATTTTAATTAACAAACATCAATGGGCATTAGATAGCCAATTAGTCCTCTATGGTAGGGGGTTTCCTTTTGACCCAGTATTTCAGCCTATTCTGGATAGGGAACATGGGACGATGTATTCTCTTCTGGAACAGCTTTGAGCTGGTATTGGGGCATTGTTGTCAGGGCCCAAAAAAAGACTGAAAGGCCAGTCAAAGGCTGGGCAATGGGGCATTTGTCAGAAGCATTTGGTTATCTGACCTGGCTATAGAGGCAGGGAACAATTATGTTTGGCTGGACTGGTCTACATCACATAGACAAGAATCTCTGCTAGCATCTCTAACAGGGAAAGTGCTGCAGGTTGTGGTCCACAACTGCTGCTTCAGTGTTTCTGCCAGCCTGCTGAAAATAGACTAGAGATGAGAGTTAAAATGTATGAATTTATTTGGAGCCTTTTGGCCCATGGTCTTAGTAATTGGGAAGAGCAGGAGTCCCAAGACCAGGAGAGAGAAAAAATGCCTTCCTTAGAAATAGACAAGTAAGGAAAAATAAAAGTTTTAGATAAATTAGTATCATTAATCAATACTGAAATCCATATCGTAGAAGAGCAGACAATGGGTGTCTGCAAGACAGCAGAAATAGACTCATACCCTTGAGTTCTAGCAGAATTACAGATTTATGTTTAAAAGTATGTACAACTGGTATTTATATCCTGAATCATTTATCCAGAGACCCAGTACATGGCATTTTAAAAAGATTTAAGCCAGGCGGTGGTGGTGCTTGCCTTTAATCCCAGCACTTGGGAGGCAGAGCCAGGTGGATCTCTGTGAGTTCAAGGCCAGCCTGGTCTACAGAGTGAGATCCAGGACAGGCACCAAAACTACACAGAGAAACCCTGTCTCAAAAAAAAAAAAAAAAAAAAAACCAAAAAAAAAAAAAAAAGATTTAAAATCTCTTAAGCATTACTGTTGCCACATTATCCTGGCATAGGAGCATGCTGCCCTTAGTAAAGATGGTAGTGAGGTCATATGACCTGCCTGTTTTGACCTTATTTAAGATGGCAGCTTGACCATGTGATTGCCCGTATTTAAGATGGCACTGCCTGACTACATAATCATATCTTTTTTTAATAAACTGAGCAGATAAGGAACAGATAAATTGAAGCATTTAAAAGTTCGTCAGAAAGAAATATAGATGGCCATATCAATCATACATTTCCGTTTGCACATAGGAAATAGACTTTGTGAAAGAAAGATGGAGAAGTAGCAGTGCAGCTTGGTGGGAGAGAGGGACCCGCCCCTGGGCTGTGGCATGGTGTGAGCAGTCTGAGGGGAATGAACCCAAGCAGTGGTGGGGGCGGGGTGGGGCATAGGCGCATTTTTCCATGAGGAGGTGTAAGTCCTAGTGGACTGACCTCCGGTGTCCCAGAGGGTCAGTGAGGGCCAATAATAATGGCACAAGATAGCCAAAGGCTATGGGCTGTGGAATTGAGTGTGCACAAGCTGTCTCCATATGCTGTTGCATAGGGACGGATGGGACTTAGAGCCTGAAAGATGTGGTACCAGTGATCAAAGCTAGACGAATCCTCACTTGTGGGAAAATGGCCAGAAGGGAAGAGCGGAATCTTACCAGTTCGGTGGGATGAAGAGTCCCCGGCAGTGCTCCAGCCTGAAAAATGGCAGGTAGTACAGGATCCCAGAGCTCCTCAGCCTCCTTGTGGGCAGAGAAAGCAGTGGGATTGCCTGGCAACATTGGGCGCCAATGTTATGAATTATTGTCCAGGGGTGGGTTGGTGGGGGGAACCCCTGAGAGTATCCCGAGTGTGCAGGGAAACATGCTGGGCAGATGCAGTGGCGGGCTGGGCAGATGCATGCCATGGGGGTATGGCAGCGGCAGCAGAGGCCAGTAATTCACAACCCATGAATGGACGCTGCATCCACGTGGAGAGTTTATTATAATAGATGAAGAGAAAGATAGAAAAGAGAGAGACAGAGAGAGAGAAGGGAGAGAGAGAGGTCGAGGGTACATACCTCATGGGAGGAAAAGTGGAAGAGAGAGAGGAAGGGAAGGAGTTTTTCCTTAGAATGAGGCTTTTACGTCACGACGCAGGGTGGCACCAAGGGGGTGGGATTTCAAGGGGTGGGTCAGAATATTAACAGGCAGATCTCTGTGAGTAGGAGGCCAGCCTGGTGTACAGAGCAAGTTCCAGGACAGTCAGGGCTACACAGAGAGATCCTGTCTCTAAAAGTAAAAAAACAGCCAGGCAGTAGTGGTGCATGCCTTTAATCCCAGCACTTAGGCAGAAGGGGCAGGTGGATCTCTGTGAGTTCAAGGCCAGCCTAGTTTACCAATCAAGTTCCAGGACAGCCAGGAATGTTACACAGAGAAATCCTGTCTCTAAAAACAAACAAACAAAAATAGTATAGTGAATAGTGAATAGAACATGTCACTTATCATCTTAATTCTTTTTCTATTCTTTGAAGACTTCATTCACATACATAGTGTGTCTTGGTCATATCCACCCCATTGCCTCCCTCTCAACTCCCCTGGGACTCCCTCCCTAATTCATCTCCCTCCCAATTTAAACACCCTCTCTGTTCTTGTAACACATTGAGTCCACTTGATGCTGCCAATATGCTCATGGGTACAAAGTCATCTCCTGGGGCCTGGACCACCTACCAGTGGCCCCCTCTGGTGGGTGACTGAAGATGGCTCCCATAGGCTTGTAGTTTTCCATGCTTAGTCCCCAACTGATGAGCTGTTTGGAAAAGATTAGGGGGTGTAGCCTTGTCAGAGAAGGTGTGGCCTTGTAGGAGAAGGTGTGTCACTGGGAGTGGGCTTTGAGGTTTCAAAAGCCCATGCCAGGCCAGGTGTCTGCTGCTGCTTGTGGTTCAGGATGAAAAACTCCCAGCTGCTGCTCCAGTACCATGCCTGTCTGCTTCCCACCACAATGGTAACAGGTGAGTACCCTCTGGAACTGTAAGCAAGTTAACTGTTATTGTAACCCCAATTAAATGCCTTCTTTTATGAGTTGCCTCGGTCATGGTATCTAACACCACCCCAAAGGAAAAAAGACTCTTGGTCATACATCCATGCACCATAACGCTTGTGTGGTTTGTCCTTCACTTTTGCTGAAATTAAAATATAATTACATCTTTTCTGCCCTCCTATGTCCCCTCCCACCTTGCTCCCTCTCAAATTCATGGCCTTTTAAAAAATTATTGTTACACAATATACATATATATACATATACATGTATATACAAAATATACATATATACATATATATATATGTATACAAAAATACAGCTTGCCAGTATATGATTTTAAGGCTGACCAGTTGGTATTGGATAACCCATTTAGGGGCTTATTCCTAGGAAAGACCATTTCTCCCACTGTCAGCATTGCTTAGGTTGTTTTGTGTCAGCGGGCCTTATGAGATTTGTTTGCCCTTTCCGGGTTAGCATGCCTGTTGGTGTTGTAATTCCTCAAATGTCTCTTAGGCAGCCATGCTGTTGGAGTATCATGGGTAAAGCTTCCTGTCATTTCTAGGAGACACAATCTCAGATTTCTGGTCCTTTGGCACTTACAATCTTCCCACCTCCTCTTCCTTGATGCTCTCTCAGTCTTTCTGTTTTTCGAGACGGGGTTTCTCTGTGTAGCAGTGGCTGTCCTGGAACTCACTCTGTAGACCAGGCTGGCCTTGAACTCACCAAGATCTGCCTGCTTCTGCATCCTGAGTGCTGGGATTGAAGGTATGCACCATCACAGCTGGCCTTCTGAGTCTTAGGTATAGGAGTTGTGTTGTAGTGAAGTCATGGATCTTACAGAACCTATCCCACTTTACTAAACTAGTTTAATTCCCAACTGCATTCAGGATCTTTGCTCTGAACAGTATAATACATCTGGCAACTCTGAGAGATAATCTTTCTCAAACCAAAGAGGAATTGAAAATCTGTTCAATTTTCTTTGAATCTATAATCATTTCAAAATTTTACAAATGACTTTAGGCTGGCAAGATGGCTTTTGGGTAAAGATGCTCGCTGCAAAGCCAGACAACCTGAGTTTGAGTCCTGGAACTCACATGGTAGAAAGAGAAAACTGAATCCTGCAATTTGTTCTCTGATCTCCACATGCGCACTGTGGCAAGCTGTAAGTAAGTAAACGTAAATTTAAAAATATTTTTAAACAGTGAGGAAAGGCCCCTGTCTCCACAAGTCTACTGGCAGGTACAGGTTGAAAGCACCTCACCTGTGACCGAATACTGAACACACAAAGGTGGGATGATTGAGAACAGAGTTCAAGAGCAGAGTCCACAGTAGAGTGTGATGGCACACACCTGTAATTCCACAGTCTGGGGGGCAGAGGCAGGAGGATTGCTACAAGTTCCAGGCTGGCTAGGACTGTATTGCAGAATGCTCATAAAACAAACAGAACAGAGTCAAAATCTTTGTGGAATTCTGTATAGAAATCTAGCGGTGGTGGCGCACGCTTTTAATCCCAGCACTCGGGAGGCAGAGGCAGGCAATCTCTGTGAGTTTGAGGCCAGCCTGGGCTACAGAGTGAGTTCCAGGACAGGCGCCAAAGCCACAGATAAACCCTGTCTCAAAAAACAAACAAACAAATTATATATATTCTGATTTTATAGGATACAGATAGTAAAATAGTGATGATGAGGAGCGGGGGAGACCACTCAGTCAATAAAGTGCCTGCTGTGCA